GGCTTCTGAAGGAAACTGTGCGAAATACCATCAAGCAATGTGTTGGCACAAAAGAGGAGTTCAACCTCCACATACTACGAGGGCAACCAAGGTAGATATTTCATTCATTCCTGCCTTCCAAACACACTTTTTGGTCAAACCTTCCTACAGTTTGGGCCAAAGCCAAAATCCCCTCTCGATTCCTTCCACGAACAAGAGGTCCATTTTCAAATCAAACGATTAAACCTTTAACCAGTTAGGGTCGTTCCAAGTTCCTCACTCGGTCAAACATTCCTACAGTTAGGACCAAAACCGGAATCCCCTTTTGATAAACGAGAGCTCTTCACCACAAAATCTATCATATTAACAATCACCTCTGATAGTACAATTCCCTCGCCAATCCTTTTCAACAGGACGATGGGTCCACAAATTTATCATGTTAACAGTCACCTCTGATAGTACAATTCCCTTGCCAATCCTTTTCAACAGGACGACGAGTCCACAAAATCTATCACGTTAATGAATAATGATTACCTCTCATAGTACAATCAGCTTACCACTCCTCTTTAATAGGATGGTAAGTTCACAAAATTGCTCAAAATTGCAATAAATTCTTGTCACGTTAATAATCACCTCTGACAAAATCAATTTACCGACTCTCTTCAATAGAGCGATAGGTCCCCAAAATCTTATTCAAATCACAAGTACCCAAATCCTGTCATGTTAACACTACACCTCTGATAATCCACTTATCAATCCTTTTTAACAGGATGATAAGTCCACAAAGTCGCTCCGATCACGATAATCCTATCATGTTAACACTACACCTCTGATAATCCACTTATCAATCCTCTTTAACAGGATGATAAGTCCACAAAGTCGCTTTGATCGCGACAATCCTGTCATGTTAACACTACACATCTGACAATCAACTTATCAATTCTCTTCAACAGGATGATAAGTCCAATTTTGCCGATCTCGTTGGCGATCATTAGCTACAACTGAAGAGTTCAATTTTGCCGAGCTTGTTGGAAGGCTCCTCACTCCGTCTGAACAAGGATCATTCTGCAGGTCTTAAGATCTAAAGAATTCCAGACCTCATGCAACCGAATTTGGGTCTGAAAATATTAGAGGGGGGTTTGTAGGTAATAAAAATTATCTTTATCCCTGCATAGCAAATTGGAACAAGCAAAAGAGCTCAACTGTCCATCTGAGCGAAGTCAGGCCCACCTGAAAGTAAAGTTCATCTGAATGCTTGACTTCACAAAACAGATAAAAACGCTGATATCTCTCAAACCAAACGGAATTTGGCGAAATGAACGACAGCAAACCAAAATTTGGTTGGTTTGGTCAGCTTTGTCTCGTCGAGATAGTCGATTTTCATATATAATTCGTCCAATTTCAACTTACGCTTTAAAAGTTATGACCTGTTCTTCGTAACATGTTCTGGAGCTCACCTGAAGAGCAAACTCGCCTGCAAAGGAGTTTAGCTCACCTAAAAAGCAAGCTCACCTGAAGGCTTGAAGATTTAAGCTCGTTTGAATGAGGCTGGCTCTCCTGCATAGCCTTGCCTGAAGGCCAAGCTGACCTGACAGCTGGAAGCTCGTCTGCATAAGCCAAGCTCCCCTGATAGCTTGAAGCTCTCCTGCATGAGCCAAGCTCGCCTGAAGGCCAAACTCGCCTGACAGTTTGGAGCTCGTCTAAAGGCTATGCTCGCCTGACAGCTTAAAGCTCGCTTGATAGCTGGAAGCTTGCCTGTATGCTTGAAGCTTGTCTGCACAAGACAAGCTCGCCCGCAAGCTTACCAAGCCCACCCACTTAAGGCATGGGAAAGATCACTTCTCACGATTTAAGGGAATGATTATGATTCTCCTCATGGTCATACCCAGTATGGGAATTATCACTTCCTATGATTTACGGGATTGGTTATCCTCATGACTATACCCAGCATGGGAATAGTCACTTCCCACAATTTAAGGGAGTGAGTACACCCACTCCCAATGATTGAAGGGAGTGGTCATGACTCTCCTTGGCTATTTATAAGCCACTTTTGGCTACATAAAAAAGGTCTTTAGGCCAGAAGCCGACCTCCTTCTTTTGAGAAGAGCTTGGCATCTTTAATCTCTTGTGGTTGGCTCTCTCTTGGTCTGGCTACTAGAGGCTCTTCTTTAGTCTTGCACGAAAAAAAGACAACACCAGGGACGGCCTGACTTTGGCTTTCGAGAGAATCGAGCCCAAGCATTTCTTGGACGTTCGGTCCTTGATCTTCTCTTGCTCTTAGCATCTTCCACCTTGGGGGCTTGTTAGCCGACAGGAGAAGACTGGACATTCTCCACCTCTCCATGTTGGCATTCTTGAAACTCTTGAGGGAGATTCAAAAAAAAACCGAACCCAAGCACTTCTTGGGTAGTCGGTCATTGATTCTTTGTTCGCGGGAAAAATCGTAGCTTTCATTGATTCCATTGCACACTCTTGTAATAGTTTATCGATTACAAAAATCCGATCTTTTTATAAGATCCGGTTACAACGAGATCAAAAGAAAAAGAAAATTACAACTCTTTCCTTATTTGTCGAACAAATCACGAGCTCCTGTTTTGCGGTCGCTCGCTTCTGTGGGTTCTTCGCCTGCGCCGGGGTTTATCCGTGGACCACCGCGCGATCTAGATCCGGTTAGATCTAAACGGTATGACGGGTATTATCTCGCAAAGGAAATAATAGCCGGGGGGATTAATTCACCAAGGAAATAATCGCCCTCTCCAAGATCCCGTCGCCGTTGCTGCACCCGTGCCCCGTGACATCCCAGCGGCATCCAAGCAGGTTGAAGCTGCAGATCCAGATCTGCCCTTCGCTGTAAGGACAAGTGTTGAAGGTGCTCCAGCTGTGTCAAAGAGGACGCGCCAAAGACGGCGCCAACGCCTTGCATGACAATTGGCCAAGGCCGCAGAATCGATGGATGGGATCCGCTGCAATGAAGATCTGAAGTCCAGACAGCGCCAAGAGCAACAACGGCGCATAACCACCTCCTCCTCTAAGGCGGCTGGGTTTTGGCCGAGCCACCTAGAGGTGGCTCGGTTTTGGCCGAGTCCTTCAGGTGTTGTGCCGTGTTGTCCGTTATCCGGTTTTATGGTTTTTCCAAGTTTTACTGTTGATCTGGACTCTGATTTGGTGTCCGGATCCTGATTTGACAGTAAATCCGCCTTGGTGTTTGAGTTCGAATCTGTTCTATGGTTGGATGACTCGTTGACTCCCCGAACCGTTGGCTTGATTCCGCACGCGAATGGATGCATTCCGTTGCTTGCGTGCGATTCGTTAACCTCGTCACCTCGTTAATCCGCTTCGTTGCGTGTCACTTGGCTTCAGTGTTGTGGACTGACGCTCGTGTTTAGATACGTCACCCGATGGTTCGTCAGTTTGTGCCGAGCTGTGCTAAGGGATCTATAAGCAATTTTATACGCCTACATTCTTGGCTCGGGTACTCAACTCCGATCAAGCTTCTACCACGCGACGAAGCTCATTGGCGGTCTCGTTCGACTCCTCAGGAGAAGAAGACAGCACCTCGAGATCTTGGCATTTTCGACCTACAAGCACAAGCCCTTGTTTTGCCTCAGTTGATCGAACTCAACCAAGAGCTTCTACCGTGCACTAAAGCTCAACTGCAACTTCGTTCGGATCGTCCAAGGGAAGCAAACTCGACGCAAGCATTCGAGGAATGCATCATATCGCTATCGAAGAAACCAGATTAAACAAGAAGAACATTCTCTTCGCTTCTGTTGTAATTTGATTTTTAATTTGTAATAAGCCATTCTTATCAATATAAATTCTCGGAGAACCATTTTACGCCCTACAAGGTGCGAACTCAATTATATAATACATGTTTTAATTAAAATACTAGTCATAAACTTCTTGGATATATATCCTACACTTAACATACTCTACCTCAGACTCGTTGCACATGGGCCAGGCTTGTTTCTGCCTAGACCTATTTCAGAACTAAGATTTTAAGGGGTCATTTGGTATCTAGCTTAAAAAACGCTTTTTCGATTTATAATCTACATAATAAAAGAAACATAAAAATGTTCTAGGAAATTTAATTCTTAGAATATGTTAATGAAAAAACAATATTAACCTCATAGTCATTAATCTCAATATACCTATATACATATATATACAATACAAAGACACATATATAATTGTGTCCAACTACCCTACCTTTTACAAAATTTTCTGTCCCGTACTCGTACCAATACCTGTACTCGTACCCTTTCCCATGCAACTTAGATTAAGTATAGGCTCATAAACTAGATTATCATATCATATTACATAATTTAATACACATATCCCTGTAGAAATCCCTTGACAACATCGTACAGGATCCGTTCCTATATCATTTATTTCTCCCAAGATTAAAAATATACGTACAATCTTCTCAAAAACTTAAAAAAAAAACTAATATAATAAAGTAAATAAATATAACACAGACAAGATCTAATTGCAGCAACTTCCCCAGAGAAAAGGCTAAAAGATGCCCAACCTTCATTTTTATGATTTAAACAGTTTCTCTCCTGCCTTAAAATCATGGAGGGAAACACCTCTTGGTTTTAATTACAATGAGGAATTCCATGTGCCTAGAGATTGTTAGATTCCAAATGAGGAACAAGACGTTAGACCACTCTTATGGAATCCCAGAAATGGAAAAACCACACATCTCTAAGTCAATTCTAATTCAATGGAAAAGACTGAATTATAATTTGAATAGTCATTGGAATCAATAGTTATAGCAAACAACAAAGTGGTCTTCCTCAAATCCTTAACAGGAAAATGGTGTCATCTAATTATCAACACCAAACATGCTTTAAAAGGAAAATATAACATAACCACAGAAGAAAAGCATTAAGAGAAAGCGGTAGCACTGCAAATCACAAAGTTTAAGAAATGTGTAACATCGGCACAAATACAACCACAGAAAGAGATAAGAGTTTCTACGCACAAGATGATAATAGATAATGAAGTTAGGATCATACCTGATTTTCCAGCCCAGTAACACTTCATAAGTTCCTCAACATTCTGTGGCACTACATACGCCCTCTTTGATTCATTAAATGGATGACGACATAGAATACGCTCTCCTATCTGAAAATATCAATGTAAAATAATATTAACATGATGCATATTCACATACAAAAACTGCATTTATTGTCAGGAAAACTTATCCTCCCAAACTCAAGAGAAGTGCTTCACTATTGGTTCAACTCATGGAACTTCTATCTTTGATATAATTAAATGGTTTACAAGAAATTGCTGAACAATATGTTTTCTTCCAGCTTATGTGGTCAGATTTATCAACAAAAGCTTCAACTGAGCACCGTCAAGATTTAGCTTGAACCTAAAGAAAAGACAGCAACATACCTTAGGTGGTGGTTCATTTTCCCCAGTCATTATATCAACCAATGCATAGCCTTCTTTTCCATACAGTCTGAAACATCTCTTTTTACATGGTATGGAGACCTATGACCATAAATAACACAATCAGTCAGAATAAGTTAACAGGTAGTAACTCTAGCTTTTAGGCATAAATTCACCTTTGAAACATCTTCAGAAAGTTTGATTCGAGGCTGACTGTTTATTTCGACTAGTTTAAAAACACAACCAAGAGCAGCTTGGGAATAGCATGTAACAAGATATGTCCCAATTCCATAGGCATCAACCTCATGTCCCTGCATGTAAGTATTAAATTATTACCAAATATATCCGAGGGATTAGAAGATGATGTCTTGAACAATGAATAAAGAAACTTAATTGTTCGTACCTAATAAAATATAACATGAATAACGACCCCGAAGTGTAAATATTTGAGGGTTGCCACATAACTGTTAATACTTCCTACTACTTAGCAAAGCAGCCTCTAGCATTTCAACTCACAAAGTTTTTCTACTACATATTTTAGAGTCATTAGCAGTTAATCAGTATTAAGTTTTCATATCAATCAACAATTTCCATAACATCACCATATAATTCCAGGACCTTTGAGACAATAGGCAAACTGATATCAAGGCCATTCTGTAATGAAAATATCGTGCTTCTCGAGAAAGTGATAGAATACTGAAGGTGATTTTCTAGACATGCACTAATAAAAGCTAAGTTTCATAACTTCATAAGAACAGCATGGTTTGGAATGATAGCCATAAGAAAGTAACAGCAGATCTATAGCATATATCATAATGTAAAAGACTGAGCATAACAGATTCCTATTAAAATTATAATATTATGTAGAGCATTGTCAACAATGAGTAGGAAGAAGGCCCTTGGATTTTGAAAATAAGTGTTCACTGTTCAGAGATAAAAAGACCCAAAAAAGGATAAAAACTTGCAGGAAGATTTATCTTGGCTGAGAAGACCACGACAAAAAGGGAAAAGGTTCTGATAAACAAAGATCATAGGACCAAGTGGAAATTGGAAAATAATAATATTATTTACTATAGTACAACTCGCAAAACATTTGAAGTCTTTATACAAGTTCTCTTGATACAATTCCAATTTGACTCCATTCAAATAAAAGCTAGCGCGATAGTTATGACAACCTTTTAGCTTGTAAAATGAGAAATGCCTTGCAACACACAAACAAAACAAAAGAAAATACACCACGAAGATACATGCCTGCTCGTGTGTGCGTGCATGTGCATGAGCGCAGGCACACACACACTTCCTCTCCCAACCAAGTCCACCCAACCCATCCTCATATGCAGATGTTGGAAGATAAACCCCATGAATGCAGCCATTATGCCTCAGCGTATGACCGTGAATGGAATGTGATTCCATTTAGACATCTGGACTATGCTATCTCAAGGATATGAGAGGTGATTGTATAAAAAAAGATTTTATACCTATTCCCTTTGTTTAGACTCTTCCCTCATCAAGAGAATTAGGAGGGTTATATCTGTGGTCGAAAGATCTTAACTTGCACGACCAAAATGGTGCATCTTGATCATAGTTTCGGATATCAGAAACTGAAATGGGAAACAATATAGGATAAACACTTAAAACAAACATGGAAAATATTAAACACACATGAACATGCACACAAACACACAAAAATACACAGAGATATATACTCTCTGCTCATGTTGTAATGTCAACTTTTTTTAAGATTCTATATTCAAATGAAAGAAAGTGAACTTTCATAGTTTTCTTATATAAATGCTTCTTTAAATTCTTTAAATAATGATTATTTCTAAATTTTTACTTGGCTAAAACAATTAAAACAAACACGAAATAGATTGTCAATACAAGTTGACTAGTATATTTAGCAGGTGTCAAACAGGTGACATAAAAGTATAAGTGTGGCGTCTTAAAAGTAAATTGTTTCCGCATATTCTTGAAATATGGTATGTGGAAACTTGTTTTCCTCGAACACGAGTGTCCCATACAGATATATAGTCATCCATCAATGGTCTTTCAAAGTTTTACGATAAGGATATTTATTCTCATAATTATCTAAACCCTGAAACTGGGAACAATTCACAAATAGAGAGTTTACGCAGCAGTCAACCAGATGAACTTCAGAAGTACCCTCGGTATCTTCACATGCCAAAGCTGAAATCACTTTTGATGGGAGAAATACATGGGTGAAATTACGATGACACATGGCCACGATAATAGCTCCCCTCAGAAAGTAACATCAAAGAGCAAACGGTTGGCAAAATTCTAGTACGATAAAAGCAGTATTAAAGAAGGGGTGAAGACTAAGGATTACTCTTTGAATTAGATCCATTATACATAACAGAACCCTCATTATAAACCTCTGCAGTCTTTAATAATAAGCATTTCAAAAAGTCATGACAGACAAAACAAACTGAACAAAAAAAATTCCTAGAGTTAGGAGGAAGTGAACATTCCTTTATGAAGTGAACCTGAAACTTATGAATCTGAGATCTACCACATGCATAGACAAGCAAGTAAAAATCACTTGCAAAACAATTTCATTAATAATCGGGCATATTTACTACAGTTTTTGTTCAAAAGGAGCTCATTTCCATTTCTGAGCATCAACATGAACCTCTGAGAGATATTGATAAATGCCATATGACTTACAAATCTATGCGACAGACCAAAAAATCAATAAATATCACAGACAACCTTTGCAGTTGAATAGATTACCTGCTTGTTCAAGTGGTCGAGTGTTTCCTCATTAAGATCATTGCTAGCTGTAATAAAAGTTCTACTGAAACCAGGTACTCCAATTTCCTTTTCCACTGCACAAAAGAATTTACGAACCTGAACAGACAAATAGGCTAGATCACCAGAGTCCAACCTAATTCCAGAGGCTTTATACCTGCACATACATATAAATATCAGATATGAGACACATCAACAGGCCATTTATGTTTCTTGCAATAACATCATGTAAAATTCTAATATTGATAATGAACAAGTTTCAACAGCCTTCGAATGAAGTTGATGTTAGAGATAGAATAATGGATGTAGCTGTGCAAAGAGCATGTGATATGCACTCAAAAAGAAAGATTTCCGGTCATAATGTTAAAGTCAAACTAATGATTGCATCAAATTCTTCATATTTCTACTAGTTTTGTTTAAAACAACTTGCTGTTCTGTCATCGTCATCAATACAAAAACAGTGTAAAATGTGAAGCATCAAAGTCCTACTGTATTCTTTGCAAAAACAATAATCAAGAGGTAAGATAAATAATTTCCCTTGGGCAAAATATAAAACATGTAACCAATAAAATGCACCAAGCTAGCCAAAAAAGGAAAAAGAAAAGGACCTCCTTGCTTCCCAAGAGAAACTCACTGGTCATACAAAGAGAAAAAAGAAAGGGAAAGGGAAACAAAAGAATATCCGCACTATCAATTCTGGCTTCAATGTTGCAGGAAACTGGAAAAGCAATCCTTATCCTCTCCTTGGATAAAATGCATGCTATGTGGTTAATACATAAATCAACCACAACCCCTCCTCCACACACCCAAACACAAAAAAAGGAAAACAGCAGAAATAAGAATGGACAAAAAAAGAAGAAAAAGAAAAAAGAAGGAAGACATATCAAATTTAAACTACTGGATAACTGAATTATAAAAATGATATGTGCGTGTTCACCTATGCATCACCCACAATATAAGCATTGTAACAACACATTTTGTTTGCCTTAAAGCTCGAGACAAAAGTACTTCCAAAAGCATGTGGCATAAATACCTCAGTGTCAACATTTCTTCAATTAGTTATTCTCAATTCTTACTACTTTTCATCTCCTTACACCGATTGTTCCAATATATATGTTCACGCTTTACACCTGATAGATACTCTAAAGTACATGGTTTGAGCAGAACACTTACAGTTAAGAAATGACAAAGAAAGAGTTATTCATATATTATAATAATAAGCAAAAACAAGAAGTATCACGGGTAAGCCATAAATTTACTATGTCAACTCCTGGTAAAAACAATTATAGAGGGAGTTTAGGTCTGCAACTTACCCCAACTCATTAAGAGCTAAAGCGACTGCACAGAAGTTGGGAATTCCACTTCGCATAACCTGACGAATGGAATGTTTTTTAAAACTGTCAACAAAGTACCAATCAAGAAGATCCCTGTACTCTTCATATTTACTGATAGTGGTGATTATAATCATGATGAGGAAAGAACATGTTACAGAAAAATAACATGATATGAGAATTTACTAGGTTCAACAACGTGTGTATACTAAATAATTGGAAAGTGGAAATGCACAAATGAGTAACTCCATAATAAAGTCATGCCATCCTATCGATCTTCTTAAATTTTAGTCCCTCTAACCATTACATTAAAACTCTAAAGTTATGGTGAGGGTTGAGGATTATATTTTTAATATTCTAACATTCCCCCGCAGGTTGAACGCCTTTCTAATGGGTCGAAACCTAGACTCACGTAGCGGTGTCAAATTTTAGAAATTCTGCTTTAAATTCATGGCCGATGGTATTTGAACCTGGGTTGCTCTAAAACCATCTTAAATTTTAGTCCCTCTAACCATAACACCAAAATTCTAAAGTTATGGTGAGGGTTGAGGATTATATTTTTATATTCTAACAGATCTATTTCTAGGATATTGACATTAGATGTCAACACGTCACACCAACTCATGCTGAGGTCTGATTAAACCCAATCTGCACTTACAATAATTAAAAAAACCTACCAAATGCAGTCATGACACGTTTGTATCAAACCTAAACTGGTTATTTGGTATAAATTTAAGTTCTTTTTAACTCCAAGCTCCAGAAAGTTGCCTATGGTCTCATTTTGGACTTGCCAGATTATCCAGGGTTACAAAAGTCCTTCTTTAGGCTGAAAATTAGAATTTTCAGATTGAAATGCAGGAATCCATTGAGCATATTTCAAAGATATCATTGACAAATAAAAAATTATTGACAAAGATGAATGGGTGATTATCACAATCAACATACATATTCATGCACTGTATTAGAATATTCATGTGCCACATGATGTCTAGAAGCTACCGGCTTTCTTTTGGAAGCAAGAATCTTGATACCTATGCCACACATAATCTAGGCAAGCGTGCATGTGTATCCATGTACGTATCAGAGGAAATCCAATACCACATAATTATGAGAATAAGCGATGCAATAGGAGAAATAAACGTACAAATAAATAGATTGTGAAACCAGATCACTTACATCATACGTATCAACAAGGGCAAGGAATCCACTCGGAAATGCCAGCGCATATGAAATGAAAGCAGCCAGTTCACTTTGATTTGTCTCGCCAAATATACCACGTAATGAATCTGTCCTCTAAATCATGAAAGTATTTATATTTATATGATAATAACAATGGAACAAATGAAAATCAATATTAAATGTTGCAAGTAATTCACTGGGAACAAAAAGATATTTGAAGTAGAAGGTATAACACTATTTGTAGAATGGACAAATGTGTTAGCTTGCACATAGAATCCAAAATATTTTTTTCAATTGTGGGAAGCAATATACTCTGTGCTTTTAATCCTAAGGATAGCAGTGTTTCTAAGTGAGTTCCTCTTTACTCCAGACAGGTTAGATCTCCCGATTTATTGATCTAGATCCGGTCGGATCTACACGATATAACGGGTGTTATCTCACGAAGGAAATAACAGCCGGGGGGGGTACTAATTCACCAAGGAAATAATCGCCCTCTCGGGATCAAAGGCCAAGCTTTGATCTGGAGTAATACCGTATGGATCTCAGATCCGATTCCTCTCGAACTCCTGCCTTTTCTGACGTGGACGATCGCCGAGCACCGGATCTGAAAGAGCAAGTCTTCAAAGCTTCAAATCTCCAGGGCTCAGATCTCAATTCAGCAAAGCTTCACCGTCAAAAATTCCAACCCTTCACAAATGAGCCATCAAGTCCTATTTATAGGCACTCAGATCTGTGCCTTGGCACAGATCTGGCCGGCCACCCAGAGGTGGCTCGGCCATGGTGGCTCGGTTTTGGCCGAGCCACCTAGAGGTGGCTCGGTTTTGGCCGAGTCCTTCAGGTGTTGTGCCGTGTTGTCCGTTATCCGGTTTTATGGTTTTTCCAAGTTTTACTGTTGATCTGGACTCTGATTTGGTGTCCGGATCCTGATTTGACAGTAAATCCGCCTTGGTGTTTGAGTTCGAATCTGTTCTATGGTTGGATGACTCGTTGACTCCCCGAACCGTTGGCTTGATTCCGCACGCGAATGGATGCATTCCGTTGCTTGCGTGCGATTCGTTAACCTCGTCACCTCGTTAATCCGCTTCGTTGCGTGTCACTTGGCTTCAGTGTTGTGGACTGACGCTCGTGTTTAGATACGTCACCCGATGGTTCGTCAGTTTGTGCCGAGCTGTGCTAAGGGATCTATAAGCAATTTTATACGCCTACATTCTTGGCTCGGGTACTCAACTCCGATCAAGCTTCTACCACGCGACGAAGCTCATTGGCGGTCTCGTTCGACTCCTCAGGAGAAGAAGACAGCACCTCGAGATCTTGGCATTTTCGACCTACAAGCACAAGCCCTTGTTTTGCCTCAGTTGATCGAACTCAACCAAGAGCTTCTACCGTGCACTAAAGCTCAACTGCAACTTCGTTCGGATCGTCCAAGGGAAGCAAACTCGACGCAAGCATTCGAGGAATGCATCATATCGCTATCGAAGAAACCAGATTAAACAAGAAGAACATTCTCTTCGCTTCTGTTGTAATTTGATTTTTAATTTGTAATAAGCCATTCTTATCAATATAAATTCTCGGAGAACCATTTTACGCCCTACAAGGTGCGAACTCAATTATATAATACATGTTTTAATTAAAATACTAGTCATAAACTTCTTGGATATATATCCTACACTTAACATACTCTACCTCAGACTCGTTGCACATGGGCCAGGCTTGTTTCTGCCTAGACCTATTTCAGAACTAAGATTTTAAGGGGTCATTTGGTATCTAGCTTAAAAAACGCTTTTTCGATTTATAATCTACATAATAAAAGAAACATAAAAATGTTCTAGGAAATTTAATTCTTAGAATATGTTAATGAAAAAACAATATTAACCTCATAGTCATTAATCTCAATATACCTATATACATATATATACAATACAAAGACACATATATAATTGTGTCCAACTACCCTACCTTTTACAAAATTTTCTGTCCCGTACTCGTACCAATACCTGTACTCGTACCCTTTCCCATGCAACTTAGATTAAGTATAGGCTCATAAACTAGATTATCATATCATATTACATAATTTAATACACATATCCCTGTAGAAATCCCTTGACAACATCGTACAGGATCCGTTCCTATATCATTTATTTCTCCCAAGATTAAAAATATACGTACAATCTTCTCAAAAACTTAAAAAAAAAACTAATATAATAAAGTAAATAAATATAACACAGACAAGATCTAATTGCAGCAACTTCCCCAGAGAAAAGGCTAAAAGATGCCCAACCTTCATTTTTATGATTTAAACAGTTTCTCTCCTGCCTTAAAATCATGGAGGGAAACACCTCTTGGTTTTAATTACAATGAGGAATTCCATGTGCCTAGAGATTGTTAGATTCCAAATGAGGAACAAGACGTTAGACCACTCTTATGGAATCCCAGAAATGGAAAAACCACACATCTCTAAGTCAATTCTAATTCAATGGAAAAGACTGAATTATAATTTGAATAGTCATTGGAATCAATAGTTATAGCAAACAACAAAGTGGTCTTCCTCAAATCCTTAACAGGAAAATGGTGTCATCTAATTATCAACACCAAACATGCTTTAAAAGGAAAATATAACATAACCACAGAAGAAAAGCATTAAGAGAAAGCGGTAGCACTGCAAATCACAAAGTTTAAGAAATGTGTAACATCGGCACAAATACAACCACAGAAAGAGATAAGAGTTTCTACGCACAAGATGATAATAGATAATGAAGTTAGGATCATACCTGATTTTCCAGCCCAGTAACACTTCATAAGTTCCTCAACATTCTGTGGCACTACATACGCCCTCTTTGATTCATTAAATGGATGACGACATAGAATACGCTCTCCTATCTGAAAATATCAATGTAAAATAATATTAACATGATGCATATTCACATACAAAAACTGCATTTATTGTCAGGAAAACTTATCCTCCCAAACTCAAGAGAAGTGCTTCACTATTGGTTCAACTCATGGAACTTCTATCTTTGATATAATTAAATGGTTTACAAGAAATTGCTGAACAATATGTTTTCTTCCAGCTTATGTGGTCAGATTTATCAACAAAAGCTTCAACTGAGCACCGTCAAGATTTAGCTTGAACCTAAAGAAAAGACAGCAACATACCTTAGGTGGTGGTTCATTTTCCCCAGTCATTATATCAACCAATGCATAGCCTTCTTTTCCATACAGTCTGAAACATCTCTTTTTACATGGTATGGAGACCTATGACCATAAATAACACAATCAGTCAGAATAAGTTAACAGGTAGTAACTCTAGCTTTTAGGCATAAATTCACCTTTGAAACATCTTCAGAAAGTTTGATTCGAGGCTGACTGTTTATTTCGACTAGTTTAAAAACACAACCAAGAGCAGCTTGGGAATAGCATGTAACAAGATATGTCCCAATTCCATAGGCATCAACCTCATGTCCCTGCATGTAAGTATTAAATTATTACCAAATATATCCGAGGGATTAGAAGATGATGTCTTGAACAATGAATAAAGAAACTTAATTGTTCGTACCTAATAAAATATAACATGAATAACGACCCCGAAGTGTAAATATTTGAGGGTTGCCACATAACTGTTAATACTTCCTACTACTTAGCAAAGCAGCCTCTAGCATTTCAACTCACAAAGTTTTTCTACTACATATTTTAGAGTCATTAGCAGTTAATCAGTATTAAGTTTTCATATCAATCAACAATTTCCATAACATCACCATATAATTCCAGGACCTTTGAGACAATAGGCAAACTGATATCAAGGCCATTCTGTAATGAAAATATCGTGCTTCTCGAGAAAGTGATAGAATACTGAAGGTGATTTTCTAGACATGCACTAATAAAAGCTAAGTTTCATAACTTCATAAGAACAGCATGGTTTGGAATGATAGCCATAAGAAAGTAACAGCAGATCTATAGCATATATCATAATGTAAAAGACTGAGCATAACAGATTCCTATTAAAATTATAATATTATGTAGAGCATTGTCAACAATGAGTAGGAAGAAGGCCCTTGGATTTTGAAAATAAGTGTTCACTGTTCAGAGATAAAAAGACCCAAAAAAGGATAAAAACTTGCAGGAAGATTTATCTTGGCTGAGAAGACCACGACAAAAAGGGAAAAGGTTCTGATAAACAAAGATCATAGGACCAAGTGGAAATTGGAAAATAATAATATTATTTACTATAGTACAACTCGCAAAACATTTGAAGTCTTTATACAAGTTCTCTTGATACAATTCCAATTTGACTCCATTCAAATAAAAGCTAGCGCGATAGTTATGACAACCTTTTAGCTTGTAAAATGAGAAATGCCTTGCAACACACAAACAAAACAAAAGAAAATACACCACGAAGATACATGCCTGCTCGTGTGTGCGTGCATGTGCATGAGCGCAGGCACACACACACTTCCTCTCCCAACCAAGTCCACCCAACCCATCCTCATATGCAGATGTTGGAAGATAAACCCCATGAATGCAGCCATTATGCCTCAGCGTATGACCGTGAATGGAATGTGATTCCATTTAGACATCTGGACTATGCTATCTCAAGGATATGAGAGGTGATTGTATAAAAAAAGATTTTATACCTATTCCCTTTGTTTAGACTCTTCCCTCATCAAGAGAATTAGGAGGGTTATATCTGTGGTCGAAAGATCTTAACTTGCACGACCAAAATGGTGCATCTTGATCATAGTTTCGGATATCAGAAACTGAAATGGGAAACAATATAGGATAAACACTTAAAACAAACATGGAAAATATTAAACACACATGAACATGCACACAAACACACAAAAATACACAGAGATATATACTCTCTGCTCATGTTGTAATGTCAACTTTTTTTAAGATTCTATATTCAAATGAAAGAAAGTGAACTTTCATAGTTTTCTTATATAAATGCTTCTTTAAATTCTTTAAATAATGATTATTTCTAAATTTTTACTTGGCTAAAACAATTAAAACAAACACGAAATAGATTGTCAATACAAGTTGACTAGTATATTTAGCAGGTGTCAAACAGGTGACATAAAAGTATAAGTGTGGCGTCTTAAAAGTAAATTGTTTCCGCATATTCTTGAAATATGGTATGTGGAAACTTGTTTTCCTCGAACACGAGTGTCCCATACAGATATATAGTCATCCATCAATGGTCTTTCAAAGTTTTACGATAAGGATATTTATTCTCATAATTATCTAAACCCTGAAACTGGGAACAATTCACAAATAGAGAGTTTACGCAGCAGTCAACCAGATGAACTTCAGAAGTACCCTCGGTATCTTCACATGCCAAAGCTGAAATCACTTTTGATGGGAGAAATACATGGGTGAAATTACGATGACACATGGCCACGATAATAGCTCCCCTCAGAAAGTAACATCAAAGAGCAAACGGTTGGCAAAATTCTAGTACGATAAAAGCAGTATTAAAGAAGGGGTGAAGACTAAGGATTACTCTTTGAATTAGATCCATTATACATAACAGAACCCTCATTATAAACCTCTGCAGTCTTTAATAATAAGCATTTCAAAAAGTCATGACAGACAAAACAAACTGAACAAAAAAAATTCCTAGAGTTAGGAGGAAGTGAACATTCCTTTATGAAGTGAACCTGAAACTTATGAATCTGAGATCTACCACATGCATAGACAAGCAAGTAAAAATCACTTGCAAAACAATTTCATTAATAATCGGGCATATTTACTACAGTTTTTGTTCAAAAGGAGCTCATTTCCATTTCTGAGCATCAACATGAACCTCTGAGAGATATTGATAAATGCCATATGACTTACAAATCTATGCGACAGACCAAAAAATCAATAAATATCACAGACAACCTTTGCAGTTGAATAGATTACCTGCTTGTTCAAGTGGTCGAGTGTTTCCTCATTAAGATCATTGCTAGCTGTAATAAAAGTTCTACTGAAACCAGGTACTCCAATTTCCTTTTCCACTGCACAAAAGAATTTACGAACCTGAACAGACAAATAGGCTAGATCACCAGAGTCCAACCTAATTCCAGAGGCTTTATACCTGCACATACATATAAATATCAGATATGAGACACATCAACAGGCCATTTATGTTTCTTGCAATAACATCATGTAAAATTCTAATATTGATAATGAACAAGTTTCAACAGCCTTCGAATGAAGTTGATGTTAGAGATAGAATAATGGATGTAGCTGTGCAAAGAGCATGTGATATGCACTCAAAAAGAAAGATTTCCGGTCATAATGTTAAAGTCAAACTAATGATTGCATCAAATTCTTCATATTTCTACTAGTTTTGTTTAAAACAACTTGCTGTTCTGTCATCGTCATCAATACAAAAACAGTGTAAAATGTGAAGCATCAAAGTCCTACTGTATTCTTTGCAAAAACAATAATCAAGAGGTAAGATAAATAATTTCCCTTGGGCAAAATATAAAACATGTAACCAATAAAATGCACCAAGCTAGCCAAAAAAGGAAAAAGAAAAGGACCTCCTTGCTTCCCAAGAGAAACTCACTGGTCATACAAAGAGAAAAAAGAAAGGGAAAGGGAAACAAAAGAATATCCGCACTATCAATTCTGGCTTCAATGTTGCAGGAAACTGGAAAAGCAATCCTTATCCTCTCCTTGGATAAAATGCATGCTATGTGGTTAATACATAAATCAACCACAACCCCTCCTCCACACACCCAAACACAAAAAAAGGAAAACAGCAGAAATAAGAATGGACAAAAAAAGAAGAAAAAGAAAAAAGAAGGAAGACATATCAAATTTAAACTACTGGATAACTGAATTATAAAAATGATATGTGCGTGTTCACCTATGCATCACCCACAATATAAGCATTGTAACAACACATTTTGTTTGCCTTAAAGCTCGAGACAAAAGTACTTCCAAAAGCATGTGGCATAAATACCTCAGTGTCAACATTTCTTCAATTAGTTATTCTCAATTCTTACTACTTTTCATCTCCTTACACCGATTGTTCCAATATATATGTTCACGCTTTACACCTGATAGATACTCTAAAGTACATGGTTTGAGCAGAACACTTACAGTTAAGAAATGACAAAGAAAGAGTTATTCATATATTATAATAATAAGCAAAAACAAGAAGTATCACGGGTAAGCCATAAATTTACTATGTCAACTCCTGGTAAAAACAATTATAGAGGGAGTTTAGGTCTGCAACTTACCCCAACTCATTAAGAGCTAAAGCGACTGCACAGAAGTTGGGAATTCCACTTCGCATAACCTGACGAATGGAATGTTTTTTAAAACTGTCAACAAAGTACCAATCAAGAAGATCCCTGTACTCTTCATATTTACTGATAGTGGTGATTATAATCATGATGAGGAAAGAACATGTTACAGAAAAATAACATGATATGAGAATTTACTAGGTTCAACAACGTGTGTATACTAAATAATTGGAAAGTGGAAATGCACAAATGAGTAACTCCATAATAAAGTCATGCCATCCTATCGATCTTCTTAAATTTTAGTCCCTCTAACCATTACATTAAAACTCTAAAGTTATGGTGAGGGTTGAGGATTATATTTTTAATATTCTAACATTCCCCCGCAGGTTGAACGCCTTTCTAATGGGTCGAAACCTAGACTCACGTAGCGGTGTCAAATTTTAGAAATTCTGCTTTAAATTCATGGCCGATGGTATTTGAACCTGGGTTGCTCTAAAACCATCTTAAATTTTAGTCCCTCTAACCATAACACCAAAATTCTAAAGTTATGGTGAGGGTTGAGGATTATATTTTTATATTCTAACAGATCTATTTCTAGGATATTGACATTAGATGTCAACACGTCACACCAACTCATGCTGAGGTCTGATTAAACCCAATCTGCACTTACAATAATTAAAAAAACCTACCAAATGCAGTCATGACACGTTTGTATCAAACCTAAACTGGTTATTTGGTATAAATTTAAGTTCTTTTTAACTCCAAGCTCCAGAAAGTTGCCTATGGTCTCATTTTGGACTTGCCAGATTATCCAGGGTTACAAAAGTCCTTCTTTAGGCTGAAAATTAGAATTTTCAGATTGAAATGCAGGAATCCATTGAGCATATTTCAAAGATATCATTGACAAATAAAAAATTATTGACAAAGATGAATGGGTGATTATCACAATCAACATACATATTCATGCACTGTATTAGAATATTCATGTGCCACATGATGTCTAGAAGCTACCGGCTTTCTTTTGGAAGCAAGAATCTTGATACCTATGCCACACATAATCTAGGCAAGCGTGCATGTGTATCCATGTACGTATCAGAGGAAATCCAATACCACATAATTATGAGAATAAGCGATGCAATAGGAGAAATAAACGTACAAATAAATAGATTGTGAAACCAGATCACTTACATCATACGTATCAACAAGGGCAAGGAATCCACTCGGAAATGCCAGCGCATATGAAATGAAAGCAGCCAGTTCACTTTGATTTGTCTCGCCAAATATACCACGTAATGAATCTGTCCTCTAAATCATGAAAGTATTTATATTTATATGATAATAACAATGGAACAAATGAAAATCAATATTAAATGTTGCAAGTAATTCACTGGGAACAAAAAGATATTTGAAGTAGAAGGTATAACACTATTTGTAGAATGGACAAATGTGTTAGCTTGCACATAGAATCCAAAATATTTTTTTCAATTGTGGGAAGCAATATACTCTGTGCTTTTAATCCTAAGGATAGCAGTGTTTCTAAGTGAGTTCCTCTTTACTCCAGACAGGTTAGATCTCCCGATTTATGGATTTCCTGAGCTACAAAAGGCTCCAAATTTGTGCTAGTGACTCCAAGATAAAGTCAGTTGTCCAAAACTTAAACATTTGGAACCCTGCCCTCAGTGGAAAAAAGCATGTCAGGTCCATAAAATGTACTTCCTAGTTCACCCAATGCTGAAAATTGTCATTTATGAATCTTCTTGACCCTTCATTGTAGGTCCTCCCCTTGATCCTATGATGCTGTTCCTTTCACACTCTTCTTGCTCTATGGATGACCATCTAATACTTGCATCAACTAACAATACCTGTTGTGTCTTACGCAACACAATTGGATTCTCTTCTGTTTTAATATTTATCTAACCCAACCCCATCCTTTTCCCCTCTTTCCTCTCCCCAGTGCTCAGGTACTCCTACCACCGTTAAAACCATCACCTTCCCTTCTCATATGAGAATTTACACAGAAGTAAAGTCGCTCAGCATATTTGAGGAAAACTAAGTAATGATAGTCACAATTCTTCATGTCTTTCTTTTCTGGTATAAAAGTATTTATAAAGTTGTTTAACCAGATGATCTAACTACCTATGGTCGATGAATAAATTGCAATTGTGCATGAATTTTAACTTAAGGCACAACCAAGAGATGGCAGACTGGACAGATAGAAAGGATATATTTAAAAGCATAGTTAATTTTCATTTCTTTTGTTTTCTTTAAATATATATATTGTTGTCTGGTAAATTTGGATACATTATAATGAGGCATTATGTAGTCATCAAAGCAGACTTGAATCCTAGTTTGTGTATCAGAATCAGATAAGATATAAGGGCATCCACAGAGTTCTACATCCCTGAATATTTTAGCATGTTCTGCATGTATATATAAATGATATTATAACTACTTTCTATGATCAAGCTAAACAACAATCACATGCTTGTTGACTTGCTTCCTTGAAAAAGTAGCAAAAGATTGTACAAACCAGTGTCTACTTATAGTCCAATAATGCATGTACACATATGTAGGCACGCACATCCACTTGATAAAGGAAAATATTGGAAGTTTCAGAAAACAAATCCTAAAGTCAGGAAAAGTATGGAAGAAAATCTAAAACGTACGCGCATTGAATATAATTACAACCTCTACAAAAAAAATTGATTGACAAAATTTGATATAAAAAACTATACTACAAGTAAATTAACTGCAATAGCATATTAAATATAGCTTGCATTAAACAATTGTCAAAGTACTAATTTGGCTTGAACAGAAAGTGAACTTTGATTGGAAAAAGAAATTATCAGAGTGAAAGAGGATTAGGGTTGAATAACTCAAGTCAAGGACATCATAAAAAGCAATCCTACAAAGTTCAGAGGAGGAGAAAATATCTACAAATACTGATTCATTGTAAATTATTCAAGAAGAAATTTCACAAATCCCCACCCCCAACCCAAACTTAGGGTGATTTTAGACATAGCCCCCTGAACTTTTTTTATTTCACAAAACTCCATGAACTTTGGGTGTCTCACAAAACACACCTAAACTTTGAACTTATCTCACCGGACCCCTACCTGTAACTGGCAAATAGCTAAAATGTCCTTGAGAGAGAGAATAAAACACCCAATTCAGTCATTTGCCATTTATAGGCAGCGTACCTCCACACCCCCCTCCCCCAATTGAGGGCTTTTTCTCTTAAGGACATTTTAGTTATTTGCCAATTATAGCTAAGGGGGATCCGATGAGAAAAGTTTAATCTTTAGGGGGTTTTGTGAGACACCCCAAAGCTGCAGTGGGATTTGTGAGGTAAATGTGGTTAAAGGGTTATGTGCAAAACCCCCAAACTTCAGGGTTTTTTTTTTGAAATTAACCCATTGAGATATTATCTTGTGAAGATCTCCAAGAGAAGGAAAAAAACTATTGTAAGCTTCTTCATTTAATAAAAATTTTCTCCTCTTTCCCATCATGTAGGCAAATTGCCGAACCACGTTAAATCTTCTCGTTTGCATGATTGTTTGTTTTCTTTGATTTGACATAAATGGGTTTTAGATACTCTGATCTAAGGCCAACTTACATAATGAACAGAAATACATCCAGTTTAACAAGAAAATAACATTTAATGGAGAATAAAATTAAGTAAATAAAATGTTAAAATTACAACCAAATAAGAAACTGTAGATTAATACATTTTACAAACATCCATGATGCAACTTAACACACCAGAGTCAATAGTCATATCACCAAACAGAACAACATAACAGTAGGCAACATCTTGTAACCACAAGTTTTGAAGGGGAACTAAAGAATAGGAGAAAGAATGGCATGAAAGGGAAGGGGATTTGGAGAAAGTTAGATTATCATGACTCATGTTTCAGGAGCTAAAAAAACATGTTCTTAATCTGACAGCATTATACATATGAGCTGCATAACCAAATATAAGGCTATAGCCTTCGTTGCATAACTGACGTCATAAGGCCACTATTATCAAGCTGCATATACGACTGCATATTCCATGGTTTACAACAGTGCTTGAACCAAATGTGGTAACAGATAAGTAATAGTATGTTAAAATGATAAAACCATTGCAGTGTCCAGTATGGCCTATTTACAAGCCAAGGTTATAACGATGCAGCAGCCTTACTTCTGCAACTACACATAACAGATATAAGACTCAAATAACAACAAGAATACACTATGCCAATACATTGACAACTGAAACTAATATAAACAGGAAAACTGCAGTCATCTATGATTAAAGTGTATGCACTATTTAACTAATTATACCTGTAGCTTGCTTAGCCAGGCTTGCACAAGGTTAACAAAATCCTTACAAGTACGAGAACCATCGCGACTTTGGAGTGCCTTGTCTACAATCTCATCAGGGCTCTAAAAATCAGTAAAAGCGTTTAGAAGGAGATAGCATCACTGACATGCAGAAATTTTTTATAATAGAAGCACCAATCTGAATTACAATTACATAGCAAGTAGAACAGTCACATTTTCATCAGAAACGAGAATACTTATAGACAATGCCTTTTACTAACATGAAGTTAGAGATATTCCAGAAAATTTTGACCAGAGTTGGTAAGGGAAGCAACAAGGTCACAAGTTCAAGACTTGTTTTGAACGAAAAGGGAGAGAAATTTCTTAAACTATATTAGAACGGGGCAGAAGGAGGCCACATTATATTTCACAAAGTTAGGCATTAACCTTCATTTAGAGGCACTGGGTATGAATCACTCCTTTTATCTTTCAAAAACATATAATTTTGAAGAGCTATAAAAGGATCATTTTATTTGCAACAACATAAAGATAATGTAGCAGACTTTTTGTTTTGCATAGGAAGGAAGGGGAGAAAATGGAAGCACACTAAGTATTTGAAGAGACAACAAACCTAACTGAATCTTTATGGTTTTATGTGCATAGAAAGTGAGCATAGTTGTGTAAACATGCCAGTATGTTTTGAATATTCACTACTCAGGTCAAGGTACCAATCAGTGTAAACTACTAGGACTTGCAGCACTCACCATGAATGAGCTGACAAAAGCATGTGAATGTGTTCCACGAAGTGGTATGTTAAACAATTTTCCAGCTGCAACATTGCTGTTGAGACAAAGCGAACAGATATTATGCCACATGACAAAAATCAAACAACAATACTGATCAAACTCAAAACCATTGTTCTGCATGCATCATTGTTCAGATTATGAGATACACTTCGTGAAACAGAAACAGAACACTATAATTGCGTAGCGCATACATTATCAAGTTAAAATAGATGAAAATAATGCAACTGGATGTATCTGTGTAGTATATAGGCAATATCCAACAAATCAACCCTGTTCATGACTAGCAGCAGTCAAGAGGTTTCAGTTCAACAGGTAGTCCTCTTACAGATATAATAACAAGTATTCCAAATCAATCAACAAAATATCAGTTTTAAAAGTGATACATAAAATATTAGCCATTTGTTGCAGTCTGGAATGAAACTGACATCCCATAAATAGAATCACCAGAATTTCACTTAGTCCCTTTCCGGGATTTCAGGAACATCATTGCTCTCACTTGTGCAGCAGTATAAACATATGCATACCCTCAAGCAATTTGTAAAATAAAATATAAAATAAGAAGTTCAGCCATATGATGTCAAGAAATCTACTATGGGACACTGAGGTAACAGAAGTACACCTTGTCGCATCAAATCCTCCAACATAGCAGTATTTTGAAGCACTAATTCCACCATCAGGTCCCTGCATGTCAGAATGGGAAAATAATATTTAGAAAAAGACATATAAGAACTAAATAAGAAGAGGAGAGATGAGATATGAGGTACCTGTGCTCGTCTAAGTCCAAATTCAAGCAGAGTTTTAGATTTTCCAGCAACAAATCGGTGTCTTGCCGCATTTGTAGTAACCAATGAGGCATAATTGACGAGATTCACAAATGGAGTTTCAAGCAGTTGAACCACCTATAAGACATGTTATAGGGGAATCAAACACTCCACATAGATGGGAGAAGTACGTATTGAACTGAATGTGGAATTTAACACACACACACACACACACACACACACACACAAAGAGAGAGAGAAAGAGAGAGAGAGAGAGAGAGAGAGAGAGAGAGAGAGATTGCACAAGTGTCAATTACTCGAGTACTCACAGCAACTGGTCCTTTAACTATCATCAGAGGCACCTTTGGGAAAACAACAGAACCTTCTGAAATTGCATAAACTTCAACATCGGAGCAGTCAACTTTCCTGAGATAGTCAAAGAACGCATCCTAGCAAAGGAGAATAACATTTTTTACATAAATTACGAGCAGGGGCAGATAAAATTCCACCATTAATCAGAATAGATATCAAGCTTCCAGCAAGCAAAGCAAGCAGCTGCACTAGATCTAGAACATCTCTTATCCAGGCACATCACAGCAAATAGGAGTTAATGAGATTCCAGAAATAGTGACTAAGATTATAAATGACCAAGGATACATGATGAAAAAATTGGCTAATAAATTGATTTGACATTGATGATCAGAAACAATTTATCACACATATCAAAATTGCATATCATAAATTTCAATGTGCTCAAGTAGACTCCGCAAATCTCTTATAAAGATCATGGTTTATTCATAGTAGATAACAAATTTTACTAAGCAAATGCAATGTAAAATGTTATATAGGATGAAGTTTCAATACTCAGAAAAGACGAAGGTTTCAATTAAAGATGTGAAATACTAATTAAGGCTTAACTTAATTGGTCAAATTGTTAAATTTATAACCAGGGTTTGACTTCTAATGGAAGGTCAACATAGTTCAGACATCAAGAGTCCATAACAATCTCTCAGGACTAAGTTGAAGAAAGTTTGAAAGCAATATCCAGCATGGTAGCATTTCTAGGATCAGAATGGAATGAGTATCAAGTCTCTGGGGTCCATTTGCAGCAACATACTCAGATAGTCAGATGAATGGCATGAGTGTCAAGTGTCTAGGTTCCAGCAGTATCCCATACCAGAATCGTCTTAAAACCCACACAGGGGCATACCACTCGTCATGGATGTGCATGTGTGTATATGTATCTGTGTGCATGCTTGGGTGGGTACATGCATGTGTCAAGCATTCCTGTGGCAAACGACTGAACCAATTCTTCGTTCCCTGTAAACTTGTGAGCATGTGCATGCATTCGTGTGTGCTTCGCGTGTTCACATGTGCGTGTGTCAAGCATTCACATACAAAATAGTCTAGTGGAGCATAGAAGGTTCTCCTAAATCATGCTCGTAATTCTCTACATTGGTAATGCTTTAGGTCAAGCTGAACACAAAGTTAGGGGAATATCAAGCTGAACACAATTCTGAGTTAGGAGGCGTGAATTGATATCTTAGAAAATTTTGGGATATGTATAGAGATAGGCTTGAATCATATGAGAAGGATTTAGACAATTAGACCCAAATTCTTCCTCTTAGAATTCAGTATTGGAACATCAATTTTCACAATCCACTCCACTAGGAATGATAAACACCATCTAAAACAAGACAGAAATCCATTATTTTAATTTTTATATGCAGACATCAATCAAGCATAAATGATAAATGGGCATCCAGAAATAGTAGTTTTCTTAGATTTACACTTTATGGCATAGATAAGTTTGATTCAAACATTTGACCCGATCGAGCATTAAAAACTTTTATAAACCAATTTCTAATAGTACTAAATATTCTATATTAGACCACTTGATTGCTATAGGACATTAACTTTTGCCTTGATGAACTTTAAAAGAACTTGGTTTTTATTTTTTTAGTAACTTTAGATGATGTTTTGGACTTTAATGGGATGAGTCTTTTACATGACTTGTGAAATTTAAATTTGAATAGACAGAACTGGGCTTCAAATCCTCAGGAAATAGGCAAGTCCCTCCAATAAATATATGTGCATGTCCGAATCTACTTTGTCCACAAGGTTTTGACTTTCCAAAAAAATTGCATCAGCCTATAGATTTCACATGTGACAGTCCTTCTCCCTGTTGGTTTGAATTTTCTTTTGATTCTAAAAATATGTGAAGGCAAGAGAATGTGTGTGAATTTGATTATTAGTACTTTGATGCAATTGGTTATTTTAGTATGGAAATTTAGATGATCCTACTCATAATGTTGGCATATCCACTGGCTAAAGTTATTAATCAACCGTTAGCAGAGTTATGCTGCTTGTTCTTGTTCCTTACAGGATAATCATCTTAGTGAGCATCCATTTAAATGTGGGCTGTCCCCCATAAAGCACTGCTTATTTGCAGCTATCAGAAAAGCTTTCAATTTCTTCATTTGAAATCCTGACTGGTGTCCAAATTGATGCATAAAATAGGATATGGATACCAGGATGGAAAAGTTGGCGAGTGTCAACCCATTCACCATATTATATTCCTCGTCAATAGAAAGTTGTTTTATCTTAAATAACAGAAAGATGTCAAGTTGTTGTTCCAAGCTGAGGAAGGCACAGGGCATGACCAACTACAGAGACTCTTAGGTTTTAGTTTACTGTCAAATGATTGTAATACACAAATAATAACAGAAAACTACAGTTGAGTTTAGATTCTTCCAGAACATGTTCCTTTTCTTTCTTAAAAGAACCTCTCGGGTTCCGATGTAGACAGATTTAGGTACACACATACTATTTTTCTTTTTGCCTTTCATTACTTAGTCATTTATTTGATGCAATTACAAACAACCTATTTTAAAACTATTTCCATTGTTCTTTACTATCATTATTCTTCCATCTCATCATCCACCCCCCCCCCCCCCCAAAAAAAAAAAAAAACACCACCCCTGCCCCAAGAAAAACAAAACAAAAAAAACAAGAAATTTCAGATTTGTAAAGCATGACCTCTTGTGTAATGATTCTATACATTTCTCTGTTGTCATTCCTCTTCCCTATTCAATTTTCGTCCTATATTTTCAATGTCTCAATTTTATCTTGAAACCGAAATACAAGTTCATCCATCTTGAGGTATGAAAACAAATAAAGATATTTCTCAACCTTAAATTTATATATTTTTAAAAGGAAATGTACAGAAGCTTTGAACGTTACATACATCAAAACCAAAATTACCAGCTTATCCTAGAGATTCAAAATCATTTCATTGTTAAGATGTCATCCTTCAATAAACATAAAGATATTTGAGGTTGACAGAAACCCATGCATAGTTCTCATCAATTTTTGCCTGTTTAGTTTTCATTTATATGAGAAAATCGAAATGGTTTCATGTGTTTCTAAATGGCTAGGGGTGGTAAACGACCGAATCAAATCGGATGTCAGCGAATTCGAGTTCGAATACAGTTCCCTAGTTCGAATCTTCCATTTCTCAATAGAATTTTGACTTTATTATTCTTTGGAGATTTTTGCTTATATGCTCTACAGCTTGTATATATTTGTTAATATGCCCTCCAAAGCATCATATTTATTGATCTTCCTCTAATGCCCTTTCTATTCAAGTTTATGCCTCAATCTAAACTAATTAATTTTTTTAGAAAATGTCTAAATCTATCATTTAATAAATATAAAACATAACGAATATTTATGACCAAGTGAATCGAATATACATATGGTTGAATTCTATTTGTTTATGAATCAAATACTAAAAATTACTCATTTACTGTTAAATGAGGTGTCGAATTGAATATGATCAAATAGCTGGCCGATTAATAACTGAATTATTATTGATTATTTGGTTGACTTCCACCCCTATACATGGCTTGCATTTTTAAATGACAAGCATTGATGATATATTGCAAAATCAAAGAGGCAATGATACTTTTTGAGTTAGGATAAAGAAAAAAAATGCATGCAATGCATTTGAAAATATTTCAGAGTCACTTCATGATAAATCCTCATACTTCCATGCAGTAAGACGTGAAAATGTCAACTGGTGAAAATAGCAAAGTTTCTTTTGGTAATTCATAAATGAAAAAAAAAATGCAAAAGTTAAGCAAGAAATGTCTATCATTGTCTCAAAAGATTGCCACAGAGATAATATTTGACACCCAAGTTAGCGATAAGAACTCTCAGAACTCATAAATCAAAGATATTTTAATTATCAAATACAATACTTTCACTTGCTCAACAGCATCTTCAGACAATACAGGCTAGAAATCAAATTTCAGAAGAATGACTTCTGTATATTACCTCACATGTGGGCATGACAGAACGCAAGAAAGAGATGTCCTCCTCCTTAAATTTGAAATTGGCAATAAACCTAATGCATTCTTCCAAACCACCAAACACGGTATACTCACCACCAAAGGGACTCTTTCGGAAGTATAAATCAAACCTGCAAGATACAAAAGGTTATGGAGACGTAAGCAACACCAAGTAATGACCGTTCAAAATTACAAACAAGTCATAAGAATTATTTTCCATTTAAGAGTAAAAACATCGTGGTTGAGAGAATGTCTAAGACTAGGAGAGTGGACTTCATCATGAGAAACCCGTATGGCATTCTTAAGGCCAATGGTGGCATTTACTTCGTGGCAGATGATTTCTCACTAAAATCAGGAGGATGTGGATAGAAGTATATAGCTAAAATGGAAAATACAATGCTACACATCTGTTTGTTGAAGGTACTCAAGAACTGTCGTTTAGCAAGCAATCAAGTAATCCACTAGATTCTGTACTCATGATCAAGAACAGACGATTTGGCCGGTCTTGAATTCTGGAAACATCTAAGAAAGTGCTGGAGCACCCATCCTGTACAGAGTTTTTCCCCAACTAATTTCCATATCTCTAAGTTCAACCAAAAAAAAGGGGAAACCGACTCCCAAAACCGCCCATTTTTCACTTACAAATGAGAAACCCATTTCTTAGCTCGGAAATGGGTTGCAAATTTATGGAAAGTGAACGAATCCATTCCCCCCCCCCCATGGAATTACTTGTTTCCTATAATTGAGGGAAACTAACAAAACAGCCTCTTTACCTCAAGACTGGCTGCTGTTAACGTTCAACATGTATTCAGAGAGGACAACCAATGTGAAAAAATGGTGTGTCGATAATGCTAGCGTTGGTATTAAAAAAAACTTAGTTTTCTTTGATGATTTAACTGTTGAAGCATAGAAGATTGCAATTTTCTAATCTTAGAGGTACAATGTTCTAGAATAGTTTATATAAATTATATTCATTAGAGAGAAAAAAGTTTGGATGTCAAAAGTTTTACTATGAAAAAACTTTTTTTCCGTTACCCAACAAAATGAGTAATTTCAAAGTAAATGAGTCTGTATAAATAGTAAACCAAATTTAATTCTCGTCCAGATGCAAGCTTGTATCATCATAGGCACAGAATTCCACCTTTCAGATAATCAGTCACGAGTGTTTCACAAGGTTATTTACATAGCCACAACGATGATCACGATAAAAAATCTATAACCCCTCCATACGTCTGTTTTGCTTAAGTTCTTCATAGATGTTGAAATTGACAGAAACAAACAAACAAAACAAAAATATGAATTCTCTCATAGCGACAAAACAGAAAACAACATCCATTAAACTTCAATAGATAATTTTCTAATAACCAAGATGACCTGCCATGATAGAAACATATAAAGTGATATTGTAATAAATACTATGTCCTTTAGACCTCCACCAATAACAATAATCAATTCATTATTATCTAGTACGTTAAATACGATAAACATGAAATTAAATTATCACCATCAATCTATTTCTCTATCTACTCTCCGTAAAACAGCACTCAGTGCCAAACATAGCTTCATTGAAGCCATCAAACCATCATAAAGCACCAATCAACTTCTACTTCTAATTACAAAAGTGGTGAATAATCTTCAGAAGCTTACCCCTTTTAGCCTTCTTAAATACCAAGCAATCATCAAATCAATCCCCAAATGTACGAAGACTCATAACGAAAACTACATTCAGCAACTATGACCAGTATTTATCTGTATCGACAATAAATACATTGCACTTGGACACTAAAACGCTCGAACCACCCATTATCCAGCAAATCCAATTCAATAAAAACTATATAAATCGAGAGAGAAAAAAAATCTCTATCACTTTGAATTTATATATCTCAATTTCCTCCCACAAAACAGATTCATTTCATTTGATTCAGGCGACACAAAAATTTGGTAAACGATCCATTTCATTAAAAAAATCATCAAAATAACACTCAAAATTAAGCGATCCAATCTATGATGGTAATACTCACACAGCCCGTTCTTGATGCTTGCCCGCTTTCCAATACGCATAAGCCATCGTAAACTGGTAAAGATCCGTCAGCAGAGGACTCACCATCGGATTCGTCGCCGCCTTGATCGCCGCCGTCGCCGGAGATCCATTTGAGGTTTTCGACATGGATTCGATTTAAAAAAAGAAAGTTCGAATCTTGGAACAGAAGAAGAGGCAAGGGGTAAAAAGGGAGGGGTCGAGGAGATAACGAGGAGGGTCGATTGGTGGCTATTTATAGAGCGCAGTTTGGTGTTTCCTGTTTTGTACCGGATTGGGCGTTAGATTCATGGGCTCTGCCTGCTGCGGCTGCGGATTTTGGAGTCCGATCAGAGATGGATAGAAAGGGGCGTACGGTCAAAGCTACGACTGGCGCGTTCATTGGACCCATTTTGCCTACTTTTTGGAGCATGCATTGAGATTCGCCTGAATAGGAGGTTTTAATTAGTTGGCATTTCTTTTTCTGGCTTTTTCTTTTGGGATAATAGTCCCTGCTATTTTTAATATTTTGAAATTAGTCTCCCAAATCTTCGTGTTTTGAAATTAGTCCCACAATCTTTAGATCTTAAAGGCAAGTAAGGTGAGCATACAGCTTCGTTTCGTGACATCCTGTTTCATGCTCAATACCTTGTTTGGATAAAGGGAATAGAGGAGAATGAAAACTAGGGAAACTAGTCCACCCACCCTCCTTCGTTTCTCTTCCGTCTCAAGGGAGAGAGTAAACTAGGGAAACTTGTCCACCCACCCTCCTTCGTTTCTCTTCCGTCTCAGGGGAGAGAGTAAACTAGGAAAACTTGTCCACCCACGCTCCTTCATTTCTCAACTCAGCTCACTAGTGGCGGAGCAACATACAATCTAGTGTTTAAGATGCAATTGTAAATATTTGCAATATTAGGACTTCTTATTTCATAACTTATATTTATTTGTTCTTATTATTTAAAACTAGTTTTCATGCCCGTGCAAAGCACAGGTTGTTTTATAACTTTACTTTCTTAAACGTGCAAGCAGATTCATTAATAAAACTAATCATTAATTACTTAATATTACTAACAGTTAATATTACTAATAAAACTAATCATTAATCACTTAATATTACTAACAGTCAACCCATAAGCTTATTACTATCATTACCAAACATGAATATTACTCATAATAAACTCACAAGCTTATTACTATTATTACCAAACATCTAAATTTCATAAAATTCTCCCACATCAGTAACAAAAAGATCTATAATACTACAAAATTTAAAAAAATGCATTCCGCTAACAACGAAATCCTCAAGTTACCCAAAATACCTAGCAATCCTCAAGTTATCCAAGTCAATGTCAATAATTGGACAAATTACCAAACAATTACTAACGCACAGTCAACTTTCTTCATGTCTACACAAAATTTTACTCAATTAAGCCACACAATAAAATTACTCCAAACAAACCAAAGAAATCCCTTTATCAAGTCACTATTGAATTAATCATCAACCAACATATTTGACATGCTTTAACTCAAAATCAGCAAAATTTTTGACATAGTAAACTGTACAATTCTCAACCAACATATTTGACATGCTTTAACTCAAAATCAGCAAAATTTTTGACATAGTAAACTGTACAATTTGGAACGCAAGATTTTCTTGCTGCTCTTCTCAAAATCAGCAAAATTTTTGACATAGTAAACTGTACAATTTGGAACGCAAGATTTTCTTGCTGCTCTTTTTGAGTTCTGACAACCTTAAGAAATTTTATGGGCTTTGGCGATAATGTTTTCTTCTTATTAATCTTCAGCTTGTAATTCTGATGGGTTGTCAATCTTAAACTTCACACCTGAAATAAGCATCAACCAATAAATTAAATATGTGTGTCCTAGAGTTTGTTTTCGTCAAAAGTTGCCTTCATCATTGATTTCATTAAAACTTTAGTCGTTACAAATGAATTCAAATAACGAAAATAAAAATTACAACTTTCTTGAAAATAAACACAAGATCCGTTTATCGTCTCTTGCTTGCGTGGGTCTTTGGCCTGTGACGGGGACGTCGATATCCGTGGACTACCTGGCAATCAGATCTGATCCAGAAAAATCGGGCAGAGCTTCGTCGATCCGCGAGGAGATCTAGAAACTTGAAGCGCCTATCTCGGATAAAGCGAGATATTTGCTCTTCTTAGGATTACCGACGAGGGGTAATGCTAAGGAACGGATGCGGGTGATGTAGATCTGATGAAGAACTCTCTCTTGTGTTGAAGTGCTCGATCACTCTTCACTCCAGCAGGGCTTCGCCAATTCTCCAAAAATCCAGATCCCTAAAAAGTGAGGCCTAAGACTTCTATTTATAGGCGACACCCCTAGGGTGTCCCCAAAAATCTAGGACGCCCCTGGGGTGTCCCCAAAAATCTAGGACACCCCTGGGGTGATTGCTCACCGGTGTCATTTGAATTCTTGTGTACCGGGTAGTGACGTTCAATCGTCGATCGTTAACACCGAGCTGTGAGTGGGAACCTATCGGCAATTTTTGATGCCTACAGATACCCCCTCCAAAGCGTTCCGGACTCGTTTCTTTTATAGAAGAGGCTGGAATACTTTGGATGTGATTGGTCTAGCCTTCAGTCGGCGTAAGGACCTGTAGTTAGCTTCAACTCTTGGCTCCTTCGATTTTCGGTCTATTCGATGCTTTGACAAATAGCCGAAGTTCTTTCGGCGCTGCGTTTATCATTTGGCCGTCGTCGGAGTCTCGAGTCTACAGCTGCTGAATGGAGTTTGGCTTGTGTCATTGGGTTGACTTTGAACTACCTCCGTCACATTGTGTTGACTTAGGGTTTCGGATTACAGTATGTTAACTCTGGTTGCAACGCGTTGACTGGCGTTGACCTAGGGTTACGCGTTGACCGGCGTTGACCCTAGGGTTTCTAATCGTCAAACGTTGACATTAGTCGCAACACATTGACTAGCGTTGACCTAGGGTTACGTGTTGACCGGCGTTGACCCTAGGGTTTCGAATCGTCGAACGTTGACTTTTTGGTCGCAACGCGTTGACTGACGTTGACCTAGGGTTACGCGTTGACCGGCGTTGACCCAAGGGTTTTGAATCGTCAAACGTTGACTCTGATTGCAACGCATTGACTGGCGTTGACCTAGGGTTACGCGTTGACCGGCGTTGACCCTAGGGTTTCAAATCGTCAAACGTTGACTTTGGTCGCAACGCGTTGACTGGCGTTGACCTAGGGTTACGCGTTGACCGGCATTGACCCTAGGGTTTCGAACGTCGAGTTGCAACGCGTTGACTGGCGTTGACCTAGGGTTACGCGTTGACCGACGTTGACCCTAGGGTTTCGCGTATCGAATGTTGATTGGTGTCGATTTTCATCAAGACATCCAATAATCGACGAAAACGGGCGAATTCGGGCCTAACAGGGCATATATATAGGCGTACGGGGACCAAACGAGACCCGAGACACCCGTGGGTGTCTCAACCCTGGCCGAGACACCCTTGGGTGTCTCGGTTCTAGAGCCGAGACACACACCCCTTTTTGCCCCCCTTTTTTCTTTTTTCTTCTTTTGTTGTTTCCCTCCTTAGTTTTCTTTCTTGTTTTGGCTTTATTGCCTCTTTTGTTTTCCCCCTTCTTTTCAAATTTTCAAAAGAAAATCCCTCTCAAACTCCTTCTCCCTCCTTTCATCCATCCCCCATTGAAGAACTCAAAACCCATTAATCCCCTCTTTGGCCGAAATTTCCTCTCCTCCAAGCTAGGGTTTCTCCTTCATCTCAAGTTCAAAGGAAGCTTCTTGGTTTTGGGTAAGATTCTCCTCCAAAAAAACTCTCTCAATTTTTGGCAAAAATTAAAACTTTATACATGTAATGAGGGTATGCCACGAATTTGTATGCAAAGATCATAGCTTTTTGTTCTCATGAGTTAGAGGATAGGCTCTTTGATGATGAGTTGTGTATGCACAAGAATTTGGGGGGTTTTATGTAAAATCCACAATATGGCCGAATTTGAGGGGCTTTTGTGCAAAATTGGACTGAAATTTGAGGGGTTTTTATGCAAAGGGGGCTGAAATTTAGGACTGAAATTTTACCCCCCCCCCTTTGGCCGAAATTTGATAGGTGTTTGCATGCGAAAGAATCAATGTTGTTTGAGGGGTTTATTTGCAAAAAGCAACCCACAAAGTGTAGAGGGGTTTATTTGCAAAAGGCTGAAATTTAGGGCTGAAATTCCAAGAATTTAGACCACAAACCCATGACTAAAGTTTTGAGAAGGGTATGCGAAAACCAAACCGAAATTTGTGGAGGGGTTTATTTGTAAACTTGGCTACATTTTACAAAAGAGTTTATTTGTAAAATTAACCAAAATTATGGGATGTTGGGGGTGCTAGATGAACAAATATGATGATCATGACCCAACTCGAGCGTGTCCTTGACCCAAATTTAGCCTTGAACACGAAGGGTATTTTGGGTATTTCACCAAAATTCACTGCGAAAAATGACAATCATTGTTTCTCACCGCGAAAAATGACAATCATTGTTTCGCATGCACGAAATTTGTAGGTTTAACTAGACTTCAACTATAAAATCCTATTTATACATAGGATTTTAATTAAAGTTCTTAATTTCCCTTTTAAATTTCGTGTATTCATATTTTAGATTGTACCTGACTTGCTGCTTTTCGTTGCAGATTTTCAATGTCTCCACGCCGACCTCGACTTCGTAGGAGTCGTTCTCATTCGCAGCACAGCGAGGAAGAGGTTCCCGCGGTATCTTATTCAGTGGCCTCTTTCTTTGGGGGTGAGAATTTATATTTTCTGTATCCCTGATTGACCTCTTCGCGGGTCATGAAGGAAGAACCGACACCCTCCTTCGCGGGGGTTAAGGTTTCAGACTTGTCTTGCTTAGCCAATTCAAGCCTTCTGGTATATTGGGGCGATTTTGCATCGTCCTACACCTTATGGTTCGGTGTATGTTACCACGTTATTCACGTGATGATGCATACCGTTCTTCCGGTGTAGGACACTCAAAATCGTCTCTCCAATTATTCCGTGAATGAGCTTATCTTTCTTCTTATGAGATGGATTTTCTGACTCTATCCTTGCGTTTTATTGCAGTTGAGTTTCCCGCGGGTAGCCTTCCTCCTCATGCCAACACTGGTTGTAGCCGGGAGGTCTTCTCCTCAGCTTCTCTCAGGCAGGCCGTTGGTCCACTCCCTCGGTTTGACAGAGATCGCTTCGACGAATCCCGTCATTTGATACGGGAAGGAGGGCGTTATTGCTTGCGCCAGCTTATTACGGATGCCTCCTTTACTACGGATTCTACCTCTACTCAGGCTTTAAAGAAGCCGAGTTTCCTGTTCGGAGATCACGTCGAGGATCCTGCTACGCTGACCCTTACCGAGGAACACTGGCTGACTCTCGACGAAGGAGCTGTCT